CAACGACCCCGCCCCCCAACGAACCCTCGAACACACACACACAACCCGCCGAGCGTCACGTTCGATTTTGAGGGTTCGCCGGAAAAGTCGCCGAGGGCCCCGCCGCCGGCCGCCGCCTGCGTTTGCCACCGGCCGCCTGCCGGTCCGGTGGGTCCGGGGTGTCCCATCAATACATGGGAACCCACGCTGCCAGTCGGGCCCCACCTGGCTGGGGAGGGGTGGGTTGGAGCTTCCCCCCTATAGAGCAATATGGCTTTTCCACTCTGGCACGAACAACATACTTTTCGCTCAAACGACAACGCCCCTTTTGAGGGACCTAGAGACCTCCGATTCGCGCGATTTTTTTGCAGGCTTCTTAGGCATGATATGAGGATGAAAACTGCCAAGTTTCATAATTTTTTGGACACCCACAGAATTTTCTAGGATTTTTTGATTGCTCCGAAGAGTGCGGCCTCCACGGGCCGCCACGGGCGCGGCTCCGGCAGCCGGACCCCCAAACATGTCAAGGGGGATGAGTTTGAGTTAATAAAACCAAGAAATCACAAATGTAACGAGTAGATTTCATTTTGGTACGGGTAGGACTCTTTTTGCACCGCCAGGACTTGCCCGTGGCGGTCTGGACGTGCCAGGACTTGCCCGTGGCAAGTCCTGGACGTGCCAGGACGTGCCGGGACGCGCCTGGACTTGCCCGTGGCAGGTCTGGAACGTGCCAGGACTTGCCCGGGACGCACCAGGACGTGCCAGGACTTGCCCCGGACGTGCCAGGACTTGCCCGTGGCAGTTCCGGACGCACCAGGCCGTGCCAGGACTTGCCCCGGACGTGCCGGGACTTGCCCTGGACGTGCCTGGACGTGCCTGGACCTGCCACGGACGCACCAGGACGTGCCTGGACGTTGCCCTGGAACGGGCCGGGACTTGCCCGTGGCGGGGCCGGACGTACCAGGACGTGCCCGGACTTGCCCGTGGCAGGTCCGGACGTGCCCGCACTTGCCTTGGACGTGCCGGACCTTGCACCTCCTTGCCGGGCCATGCCAGCATTTGCCACACGCGTTGCTCGAGGTTTTGCCCTAGCTTTTCCCGTGCCTTGCCAACAGTTGCGATGACCTTGACAACACAGGCCACGGGCTTTGCCCGGGCCTTGCCACGCTAGCCCGGGGTTTGCCCGAGCTCTCCCGGACCTTCCAACCCTTGCCCGTACCTTGCCAACGCGTGCCCGGGTTATCCCCTAGCTTCCCAGACCTTCCACCCATGCCCGTACCATGCAGCACCGGCCACGGGCTTTGCCCGGACCTTGCCACACGCCAATCGCCGCCCGACCATGCCAAAACTGGCCGCGGCCGTCCCCCGGGCTTGCCAACAATTGCGACGACCTTCCAACACAGGCCACGGGCTTTGCCCGGACCTTGCCAGCTCATGCCCGGGGTTTGGCCCCAGCTCTCCCGGACCTTACAACCCTTGCCCGTACCTTGCCAACACCGGCCACGGCTTTGCCCGGACCTTGCCAACGCTTGCCCGGGGTTTTTCCCCTAGCTTTCCCAGACCTTCCACCCCATGCCCGTACCATGCCACACCGGCCACGCTTTGCCCGGACCTTGCCACAACGCTCCGCCCGACCATGACAACACTGGCCGCGCCGTCGCCCGGGGCTTGCCAACAATTGCGACGACCTTCCCAACACAGGCACGGGCTTTGCCCGGACCTTCCAACTCTCTCCCGACCTTTGCCAGCGCTAGCCCGGGGTTTGGCCCGAGCTCTCCCGGACCTTCCAACCCTTGCCCGTACCTTTCCAACACCGGCCACGGGCTTTGCCCGGACCTTGCCAAACGCTTGCCCGGGTTATCCCCTACTTTCCCAGACCTCGACCCATGCCAACACTGGCCACGGGCTTTTGCCCGGACCTTCCAACTCTTTCCCGGACCTTGCCAACACTGGCCGCGGGCATTGCCCGGGCTTGCCAACAGTTACGACGACCTCCCAACACAGGCCGCGGGCGTTGCCCGGACCTTGCCACGCTTGCCGCGAGGCTGAGCCCGAGCTCCCCCGGACCTTGCCACATGCTCGCCCGGACCATGCCACGCGCTTGCCCGGACCATGCCAACATTTGCCACACGCTTGCCCGGGGTTTTGCCCAAGCTTTGCCCGACCTCCATTATATATTTAAACCGCATCGCGCAAGCGCTAAAGCGCTTAAGCGCTGAGCGCTGAGCGCGCGCGCGTTGGTTCTTGAGGGTCCACAAAAAAGTAGGGTCGGACACCCCCCGGGGCTGGGTGCCCCCCCCTAAAGAGCAATATGGCTTTTTCCACTCTGGCACGAACAGACATACTTTTCGCTCAAACGACAACGCCCCTTTTGAGGGACCTAGAGACCTCCGATTCGCGCGATTTTTGCAGGCTTCTTAGGCATGATATGAGGATGAACTCTGCCAAGTTTCATAATTTTGGGACACCCACAGAATTTTCTAGGATTTTTGATTGTGATTGCTCCGAAGAGTGCGGCCTC